AGCAGCAGGCAAAAAAAAAAGCTTGTCTGGTTTTTCACTGGAAAATAATGTAGCATGAAGAAGTGGCATTAGTTAAATGTTGCTTGTGAATGAAAGAGCAAAGGAGTCTGTGACTAAAGAAACTGCACAGACACCAACATGGCTCATGATGACTGCTGCTCTCATATCTGTTCTCTGAGACAAAATGTCAGACCTCTTTCCACTCACTGTCTGTAGTTGTTCTGTCAGTGTGACACACTGGCCTGAAGTCCCTGAAATTGCAGCACCCCATCACAAGCAGCCTTTTGAAACATCTGCCAAGTGTCTTTGCTGCCACACACAACCCACAGCACAACATCTGGGGAGGCACCTTGGTACCCTAGAGAAACAACTTCCAGTGAACAACCAGAAACATTTGTACATTTTTCCGGGTCATAAAGCCTTAATTCTCAATGGATTTTGCATCAAGACGTCTCTGAAAATCCACAAGAAGGTGTTGACAGAAAAGCAAGCTGAATATTCTGCTTTCACTTCAAGAGGAAAATCTTTCCAAATTGCAGAATAAACAAGAAAAAAATACAATTGAAAAACATCAGGAAGAAGAAAGAGAGGTTAATGGGAAACATTTCTTCTTAACATACAGACTCCGTATTATTTGATTTCATTTATTGTATCGAACTTACATCAGGTTTGTGTGCAGTTCACCATCTTTGAACATGATTTTTAGCTTTTTCTGACAGTCCTTTACCTTTGAAAGTAGGAATTACATGGGTGGGGATGATAAATCTGGAAGGAATATGAGATGGTCTTAACAGGGGAGGATTTGGCAGAGCAGGACAAAAAATTTTTTAAAAGTAATTAACTTTTTAAAAATTATTTTAGGGACTCCAAATTTAAAATTTGGGGTTTTTGTCCCCAGTTTCTTCTAAGCACACTTTATCACACTGCCAAGGAAGCAGTCATCCATTAGAAATTAAGCCAAAGTAATTCCATTGGCAATTATCTGCCTGCTTCACAAGCAAGGGTCTTTGTGCAGTCTTTCATGCCATATGGAACTGGTATTCTGCACACTTTTATTTTTATGTGGTATATTCAAAACTTGCTTTGAATTCTCATTTTATCCAAATGTCCCAAAATAAAGCAAGGAATGTTAGGGTCTGATTCCTACTGAAGTGATGGGCTTGCTTCTAGTTCACTTCATGACCTTGACATGCAAGGTGAGTAAAGACAAAAACATGGGTCAGCTTTATTTATCTTATAACTGAGCCCATGCTGGTAGGTCTGGAGCTGAGCTCATGGGTGCCCTTTCAAGTTTTGTTGGGGAATTGCATGATATCCGTGACTGACTTGGTTGTGTAAGAAGTCAGTTGCAGAAATACGAAATAAACTGAATTTCTCAATGTAGGGTGTGTACCTATACCATTCCCATAACTCTGGATATGAGTTTCTCTTTGCAAATTATTCAAATATTTAACTTTTCTCTCTTACATAGTAATGCCTTTCTTCTGTTAGCAATTATAGATCAAGACAAGGCTGTTTTAATATCCATTTTTTTATGGCCCAAATAAATTAAAAATTTTACTCTTTGCATGGTTCTTGCTGTATCTTTTTTTCTTATGAGAAAGTATTGTGATTCAGAAAAAGTTTCATACCTTCAAAGTAGCTGAAAAAAGGGTATTTCAATATAATATCAGGGCTATATCAGGAAGATAACTAGGGAAAATCAGGCTAGCTACAGCAAAAGATATCCAGCTGTCTTAATCCCTATAAATCTCTGCTAGAGCAAGTGGAAAGAAAATATGTAAAATATCAAAACTGCATATGTCTCATATTTAAATATTTCCACAGAAGCCCAACCAAGCTTGAAAGTTAATCTTTAATTCAAAGAATAGGAAATACTGAGGAATCATTTACAAGGCCACAGGTCACTAGGGAATACAATAGTCTGACTTCATAAATCACAAGCAAGCAATGTTAACTTAGTGGGTTTTATCTCATTTTCAAGGGTCTGAACATCTGTTATATAGTTTTTAAATGCTGGTGGTGATCAAAACAATGTACAGAGGAATGTGTGTAACCATGGGGACTAATAAGAGAATTTCTGTGGTCATGCTTGACAAGATCCCAGAACTGAAGTCTCTGAAATCCACAGGCAAAAGTTTAACATGTCCATGGCAGGCATTACCTCTCCTAACTCTATTCTGCATTTAAAGTTCCATTAAAAGTGCTCCAAAGTCATTGCCTGCCCAAACATTCATCTCACAGAAGTGGCCATCAGGCTACTCCCTCAAAGAGGAGATGAATAAATCAGTGTTCAGAAATCTTTTAGTAAGGCCATCAGACACCACACTGCACTTCCAGAAAGTTTCAGGATGAGGTTCGAGGAACCAGTTAGACAGATGTGCAAACTCCAGTGCTAAAACTGAGGGTTAACAGAGGTCTGGTCAGACAGCAGGAAAGGTTAAGACTTCAGAGACTGAGTACACACAAGTTGTGTAAAGCTCCATGGTGAAATAATTCAATAGGGAGGTGTGAGATAGCTGTGAAGGGAAATATCTGAAGGACATGAAAAAATTTTAAAATGCACCTGAATCGAAGGCATCTCGAGAGGCTGTAAATGGTAACCTTTCCCTAAGCTGTAGTCATTTTTACTATTGCTGCCTTTTGTGAGTCATGCAAATGTCTGCTTCCCCCCAGGCTCTAAAATGGGAATAACACCTCAAGAGATGCCTCTGAGATTTAATTAGTTGTCATTTACCAACGATCCTGAGTAAAGTAAGACCCTCTTACTTTATCCGGCGTTCTTCCTTAACACAATTTTTAAAAAAAAAAATCTGTTAGGAAATTTAATTATTTGTTATCTAGTATAGAGTATGCAGACACCATTTAATATCTTCAGAAGAGACTGGGGAACTAGAATCCTCATTTTGATTTTCAGGGAGTATCTGGAGAGCATGTGCAAATGTGTGAGCTATGAGAATCTCTCTCCATTCTTTTGCTTGCTTCTATGAAAATGAAAGTCTTCTTGTCCAAATTACAGCCCTTAGAAGATTTGGGGGAAAATCACTTTCCAGTAGGTTTGGAATCACTTGTTGAAAATAGAAGTCTGCAAGTCCTAGAGCACCAGCTCTAATTTGAATGTGGGCAAAATATGAATGTAGCTCTAAACATCTGAGTTTTGAATAGTTTTACATAATTTCCAGCAAGTCATGAAGTTATTGCTCTGAAAGCTAATCACCACCAATATCCATCAGATTACTTGTGTAGTTATCCCAAAACAAGCAATAATTAGAAATCTATCCCTTTGACTTTCATATTCACCAAACTTATATTAAAGGATCTCCCGCCCTATAATCTTTCTTTCTTACATTTTCTATAGAATTTCTCTGTTCTCACTGTCTCCTAGGAGCAATTTACACACCATGAACAATGGGCAGTTTAACTCAGTTGCTTGTGCTGGTTAGCTGTCCCAGTAGAGACCTTGGGTTTTTTACTCTCAGCATGGGCAGAAAGGGAAGAAGAGGGATTGCTGTCTCCCCAAAACCCCTGGTCCCATGGGCCAAAGACCTCAGTAAGGGCAGGTATCCTGAGACCATCTCCACTTCTGCCAAAACCTTGCTCACAGCCTGTAAACTGGAATTTATTTTTTGGCTTGACAGGGCTCCCCTACTGAGACTTTAAAGGCTTGCAAATGCCACTAATATCTCATGTGAAAACAAAGCAACTAGAGCTTAGCAAGGGGTGTGGAGGAGATTTATAAGGTGTCTATCATGGCAAGAAACACTGTCAAAAACTCATACAGAAAAATACTGTCCTATTTATTTCTTGTGGATGAAAATTCAAACAGTGCTTCTAAAATAACATCCTCAGCTGTTTCTATCTCCTGGCTTATAAAGTGACATTCCATAGAGTTTAAGCATGGCAAAGCAGCATAGGCCATTTGCAAGGAGAGCTATCATGTCCTGAGAAAAAAAGATAAAAGAGATAAATAGCTGAGTACAATACTGTACCAACAACCTAAAAGACAATCTTGAAACTGAATGGAGGAATGGTGAGCTTTTATTTCTTGTTTTTTAAAACAACAAAGCTTAGCGGTTTCCTTTAAAAGCTATTCAACAAGCTCCCTTAAATCCTATTGCAACTTAATGCGAAATGCATCGGTTTCCATAAGAACAACAGTGGCAGCATTCATCCTTTGTAGTCTGTCCTTTGTTGTTTTTTCTATCTATTCTTGTAGATTTCTCCACTCTAGTATACCATACACAAAACAAGAACTGATAAAATTTTAGTCAGAGCATTTATTTATTAAGTTGATGCTAGAAATTCAGTTTGTTCCTGCTTGCCTCCTGAATCTTGCCAAATTAAATTATCGTTCAAGGAATTTATAAGGTAAAAAAACTGTTTTGATACTGTCCCAACATTTCTTGCATGTGGATTCTATATTCAGCTACAGATATTTATCTACACATAATAGCAAAGATGAATATAGTCTCTGCATGGCTTCTCACTGTAACTGAGAACCAAATGTACTGCAATGTATTCAGCCCAGGTATCTTAAATCAGTTCAACATCAGCTCAGCACTGCATCATTTTTTTAGAACCTTCACTACTTGTGTAGCTGTCAATATAATATTTTTCTAAGACTTGACCAAGCTGGTGGGTTTATCTGATGTACACTATTTAACTGAATTCACATTCAGCCGACTGTGAGGCATATTAATTCTTAAAAAGGTGTATATCCAGAAAACCTTAGGCAAATGGAGAGTAGGAAGCTCAAGATGCAACATGTTTTTATTAATGCTTTGCCTGTGGAAAAAGGTGACTTTGATTGTTTGTGTGTTCTGAACTCAAATGCTGGCTGTCTTGTTTTTAAACACAGGAAATTAAGTTTTAGCATTTTTAGCTTTTTTTAGCCTTCACCATCATCCCCATCACAAATTTAAACAATGTATTGTTTAACATTATAATTAGTGTGGCTGATGTTTTTTAATCTGTTTTCCCTCTCGTTGTCTCTTGATCAGGTAACAGACATTAAAGAAAAGCTAAAGCTCTCTAAAAAGTTCTGGTCAACATTGCCCTACACAATCTGCAAGGACGAGCGAGTGACAGCCGGTCCGTCAGTCGAGGAGGACTGCTGGAACGGCCACACCAAGGCGAGGTGAGGTGGACCCCTCTCCACCCCACCCGCTCCAAACACCCATCTGGCCTGAAGCAATCATGGAACTGAGGGTATTTCACAAAACTGTTTAGGAGGGTGAAACGGAAATTGGGAGAACAAGTCGTTGTCCACACGCAGCTTGTAGCCAAGATTACTTATTATCAAAATGCCATTAAAGCCCAAGTGTGAGTCGGGGTAAATGCGTGCAGTGTGTGTGTGAAGCGGAGGCAGAAAATGTGCATTGGTTCAGCTCCAGAAGGATAATTTACACTGAGATTTCAAAGAGCTCTTTAGGTCCATTTAGCATCCCTGTGTTGGGACTGACAGCTTGTGAAGCAATTGCACTCTCGGGATATCTTACTGGGATGAAATAGAAATTGGAATTTCAACTCTACTTGCTATTGGCTGGCAAAGCTTAGGGCTATTTACTAGGGGGGAGGCAAAAAATGAAAAATAACCTCCAGAAAATAAATGTAGCACTCCTACTTACCTTGTGTAGAAGATTTGACCTTATGTTACTTCTTCAGAGATAGCTGTGGTCATCTGCCCTTGTTTGTGATGAGTTTTCTGTGAGTTTTAATTTTGAAGTTTACTTGGCCCTCGCTGCAGCAGAGCAGGAGCCAGCAGATGAGCAGGTGTCTCCAAAAGTCCCAGAGTGGATTCATCAGCTGACAGAGGAGAGGATCTGATTATCCCTGCTGAGAGGGGGAGGAATTGGCTCAGGGACCATGCCAGGGGTATCCTGTGCTGTTGGGTAGACATGAATAGTTGAGAGGTTTGAGTGTCTAGTGACAGCTGAATCTCTAGAGAAGTGACACTTTCTGGCACTCAAGGACTGGAATGTTTATTTTCCTTTTACCTGAAGATACATATGAAGACAGAATATAAAAATGAGCCAAAAAGAAAAAACACCAAGCCAATCAAACAAACAATAGAAGAAAAATGAGACAAGCACATCAAATATAAATACAGTGAAAATGAGGCAACATGGGAAAAAACTTAGAAACGTGCTGTCATTTTACATGGATGTATGGATGGACAGATGCATAAATAGATTGCACCCACCCCACCATCTCATCATCTGATCATTTTGATAAGGAGCACAGTTTACAGGGGGATGTTTCACACTGAATGCACACCATTTTTTCCTAGCCTTACTACATAACCTTCAGAGGAATTCATTTCATAGACAAGAGGAGGGGGCTGTTTGGCATACTGCTAGCCTCTTGAATCCGCTTTTGAATGCATGTGAACAAATCTGTCCAAATTCAAAAGCCACTGCTTAGATGCTAAGTCCCAGATCCAGAGAAAGCCCCTGGGGAGTCAGAGAAATACTAAGAGGAGCAACTGGCTATTACAGGATTCATCATACAGTAACAGTGTGAAGAGAGAAATAAAAATGTGCAGTTTCTCTTTCGCTATTTTATCCTTTCTTGTTATTGAGCTTTGAAAGACCTGAGCCCAGGCCAGTCCACACTCAGTAGTTAAACAGAGTTTCAAGGCACCCCAGCTAAATGCCATGAGCCGCATCAGGATGCATGCATCAGTAAGAGATATATGCTACTTCTTCTGCAAAAGAGTAGTCAAATCCCTTAATATCTATCCATTCCTCCTGGTTTCCATGACCAACACTAGTGTGTGTACCACATCTGGCAAATACTTGGCAGCTCTATTCTGCTCCTGCACTGAAGGAGTTGGCACAGCTTCCACATTTGTTGGGAGTTAAGGACGTACATTTTATGCATACAGTTTTTCACCATTCTTTTACAGAATTGATCTTATGAGAAGCCTGGATTTTTTCATTATGCCTTCTGAGACTAATGTTCTGGAGAGAGAAGTGCAGTCCTCTGTTAATAATCTCCTTGGAAATTGAACACAGATGTTTCACTGGATGTAGAGTGACAGCTTCAAAATATCACCTGAAGATACGATTTCAGCAGGTCCAGTCACTACTCCTCTGCCCAGTTTCTGTTTAATATCCATTCACAAAGGAAATGTATAGTCATAGTCTTGTAACAGAATTCAATAAATGCTTCAGGTGGAGGCAATAGTAATAAATCAGAGAAACACCACAAAATGCCATGGCTGAATATGAAATAGTATTAAAAACAATATTGAAAATAACTAGCTCTAAATGAAAAATCACCTCTTGGCTGGTCGACAAAGACTTTTACTGCAGCATTTTAAAAAAAAAAGGTTTCCTTGGTCAGACTGATTAGTATCTGATACCAAATACTAGCTCGCAAGAACACGCATGGCAAAATCTGACCAGTATTCATATATATCTCTGTGTACACTGTGTCAGCTGTCATAAACATCCCTGTGCTATATGAGGAGCTGCATGCTGAATTCCAGAGAATATTAAAAAAGCCTGTGGAAAAAAAAAAATTTAGCCACCTCCAGTTTTCATAGACATTAACACTGTAAGAAGACAGCATGGTGTTGGCTACCATTGGGAAAGGAAATTATTGCTGGGGTTTTTATCAAATGCTGTTTTAGTTTTTAACAAATCCTATTTTGGAATAAATAACTAGAAACTTTCAATTGCCGGATAGACATTATGCCTTATGTTTCACTTTACACGTCACCTTTTGATGCTGCTTTTACAGGGAAAGAGAGTTACAAGCCTGAGACCACAGAGAATGAGAGCTTGGCTTTCTCCTGAGAGAGGCATTACACCAAGGTCATTTGTGGTTATTACACTCCCTAAATATCACTTTGCTGCCATGATTAATTTACAGTGACACCAGGTCGCCAACTGAAGGTCGCCAATTCACAAGTAATCATGGGGTAGCAGAGTCATCCATTTGGCGTTCTGGAAGGGTGCACTTGGCTCGCTGCTGATCCTGTACAAAGAACCGTTTTAATCAGGTCACATCACGTAGAAACCAAGTGCTGTGGAAATGGGAAAATATTTATTAGATGGATGAATCTCTTTTTTTTGAAAAATCCGTATTAAGGATAATAATAGCTACTTCAGACAAAGTGCCTTTTAGAGAGATGCCCAGCAGGATTTCTCCATCATATCTGTATTCACAAAAGAACATGAGTATAATTTTATGTTTAAAGAATTAACATCTTCTGCCAGATGTGCAGAGACAGATTTCTGAAAGCTATTTAGGATCTAAAAAACAACATTAAGATCAAACTTTGAAAATTTATCTCCCTCCCTACATGCAATTAAATTCTTAACAAGAGCTGATGGCATCTTCACTAATAGATGTTCTCCAGAAATTAAGACATTTTCCCAAGAATGACGGAAAATCAGGCTTTAGGACTTAAACCAAGTCCAAGGTATTAGTCCTTGAATATATGACTTTTATTGAAGTAAGAACAGCAACGGAATTTGGAGCCCTCTGATGTTCAGAAGAATAACCTTGAATTGCTCCAACCAACTCAGCTGGCTCATTCCAACCAAAGCACCTGAGAGACTGTGCTCATGCACTACCATCCTGGTGCTCAGGTTCAGCAGGGCTACAGACTGACTAATATGTCTTAGCTCTTAAAAGCTGTAATCCATGAAATAGGTGAGACCTGCATTCCTTTCCACAAGGAACCTATTTCTCCTCGAGACAGGAAAATAAAACAAACAGAAAAACACAGAGAAAAGTAAGGAGTAAAAGGAAAAATTAACACTATAATTTTCAATATCTAGATCAAAACTACAAGGTATGTCACCAAAACGAGCACAGGATAGATGCTCAGCTGTCCTGACATTCTCTTCTTCTCCTGCCGCATATATGGGAGTGACTAGTTCTGTGGCAAAGAGTTTTTAATTTCTGGTGAGATTCAGGTGAGAAAAAAGACTCATCAGATCAGTGTTTGCCCTGAGAAAGTTCCTCACTGCTGTCCAGCAAAGTTTGCAGTGACAATGAGTTGAGTGTCCATTAGCTGGAGGTAAGCACAGATAACTGTTTAGCACCACTAGTGAAAGCAGGAATAAACTACTTCTCAGGAAGTGTGGAAACTGCCCCTTTTAATTGATGCCTCTAGTTTATTTTTATATCTTCCTATAAACTGGCAATGAGGCATTTTCTCCCTCTCCTTGTCTCTCCTCAAGCTTTTCTACAAGATGGAGAAAAAAAACAAATTTTCTGAACTGAAAATATCCCATGGGGATTACCTCCTGAGCAAACAGAATCAGATGAGGTGAACTAGTTAACCAAACAAGCCAATTTTCCACTGCACTTATCTTTCTGGACCAGATGTGACTGTCTAAACCCAGCCCAGCCTGAGTAAGCCTGTGCTGTATTTTGTACTCTATTGCCTACACTTCTGTGCACCTGGAATAACTCCAGTACTGCCTAGGTGGCATGCCCTAGTTGTACGGTAATCAGCTGATGTGGAAGCAAAATATGGAAAATGTTGCTCTTTAAGACAGATTCTTTTAAAAATCAGAAGATCAGAAGATTCATCCTTACATACTTTTTTGGGGGGTTTTTTGGGGTTTTTTTTTTTTGGTAATTGGTGGGGGGGTGTCAACTCTACAGGCTTTATATATATGACCTGAAACATTCATCAATCTTTTTTGGACTTGAAAAGGAAGCAGACACCGTGGAACATTAATGGGTTATTTAAAAAAAAAAAAAAAAAAAAAAAGTGAGGGGGAAAAGAGAAGTGGTTTTAAATAGGCTTTGTGGTACTTGGCTATGATGTGCCAAAAGATATCTTTGCTGTGTCTGCTGAGACAAGCAAGAACTGTGGAAAGGCTAAGAGGAACAGAAAGCATTAATATTTTAGAAAACAACGTAAATTACACTGAAATCCTGACATAGCCGAGCAAGGAGCAAACACCAGAAAACAAACAGTATTGTTCAGCTTCTCTGTACTCACTGTACTCAGAAGGCTAAGAAAGCTTGCTTTTCTTTTTTTTTTTTTTTTTTTTTTTTTTTTTTGCTTTGCTAGGAGGATGTAAAGATTCAGGTTGTCACTTCTCTTCTTTTTATTTATAATGGGCATACAGTTCTTGTAATGGCAAGGCCTACAAAGAGATCATTAAGGAGAGCAGAAGCAGCAGCAAAGCTTAAAATTCACAAGGGTGTCTCAACTTACGGAACTGCAGCAAAAGCAGCTGTGTTCAACAACTTTGCCCAGCTAGCAACAAATCTTCTGTCAAATCATGGTCCCAAGACATGGCTTCCTATTCGGTGTGTCTTAACCCTACCCCACACACATCAAAATGCTTTTGTCAGAACTTGTGTTGGGCTGCCTCTCAGAGGCTGCCACTCACAAAACATCTTGGGCTGCACGTTCCCATATCTGTGTGAGTCCTTTAAAGAAAGGAAAACTATTCAAAGATATTTCATTCAATATAAACTTTTCTGACTTTCCCCACCTCCCTCCTCAAAAAGAAGCAGATGTATTAGTTCAGTAATGAGGGCAGAATCCAGCTACACACTCAAACATGTTAATTCAAGTACATAAATATGGGGTGGGTAAATAAGGACTGTGTTGCCTAAGCAGTTGTAGTATCATTGGAGACTCACTGGACCATCTGGGATGAATAGTGACACAGGACACTGCCTCCCCTCTGGGCCAGAGCCTGGGCTAAAATTGCCTGAACAACTTTGAAAGCAGCAATAATAAGGTGACTGAAAAGACCCCCAATATCCTGTCAGTGTACTCAAAGAGACAGTTTTCCCCTGCCTGAACACACTTACCTACTGCTATGTAAGATGGTCTAAGTAGTCATGATACCTTCATGGAACTGGGAAATTAGACCCTGGACCTACTGGATATTCAAAGCCTACTGGAGTGGCAGCATGATGCCAAACAGCCTACATCCTAGTGGCTAAAGTGGCATTCAAGACTCAATTCAGTTGCCTTAAAAAAGACACACACTATAACTTTAGATGCCCCAGATGTCCAGGATCTCCCCTTAAAGCCTGCAGATATGATACAGAAAGCCTCATCTTTCAGAGCTCACCTTTCAGAGCCAGTGACAAGAGGAGGAATAACTAACAGCACTCAAATGGCACCAGCTGTCTATGTTTATGCAAGGAAATCCCAGCAGATGAAATATAATGAACTAGTCATTTGGCCAAAGGCACATGGGACTGTAACAGCTGTCCCTGCTCCACTGATGAATAAACTCCTGACTAGCTGTGACTGGATCTGGTGGTGGCTAGATCTGGTGAGAGTGGGACTCTGCTTATGCACAAACACTTGCATTTGAGCATACAAGATTTGGTATGTGTTTAAACCTAAACATTAATTTTCAGCCTTTATAATGCTTTTGCTATTATCTCCTAAATGCCAAGGGAATTTAAGTATCCAACTAACTGTTAGTCAGTGTTAAGGCCATGGATTTCTTGTGGCCTACATCAAGTATGTGTCTCTTACACACCTAAGTGAGGTACACTTGCCAGGAATGCTTTGGACGTCACCAGATCCTGGGCAGATAAAGCAGGGTGTGTGACAGTTTAACAAAATTACAAAATGGATTGCCCCATTTAGATGGTCCTGAGGACATCAGATGCACTCTAGTCACAGTGCAAAATACAAACCTTCATGAAATGCACACACCAGAGCACTCTCTAATTGCTTTAAGTTAGTATATTCTTCTTTTATTTTTTATGGTAAGACAAAATGAAATCAAACATAAATCAGTCTGTGAGCTGCCCTTCAGAGCTATCCTTAGCTTCTCATGGACAGCTTGCAATAAAGAGCTGCTAACCCTTCATAAACAAGGAAAGCAATCCACATGAATATTTAGCAATTTCAGATCACTTGTAGCTACTAACAGCTATGGCCATCGTCATGGACAGGATACAGAGCAAGACAGTCATCCTCTCTGAGCCAGTAATTCAATTCTTACATTCTTGCTCTTTTTAATCAACTGCACCTTGAAATCACTGATTTACTACTAGGCTGAGTAATTTATCTACAGCAGCCCTTTCATTTGTAGAGACGTGTGACAGATGGAGATGCTGCTCCTTTGCAGTCCAAAGCATCCCTGCCTGCCAAGGTCTCCATCCGATTGCCTCTAGGCAGCTCTGCAGAATTATTTCCTATTCTGTCTTTAGTGATTCACAGCACTGTGGTCTGCAGTCTTCCATACTGGGGGAGGCAGATTCTGTGTTCTCACCGTAGTAAATCTGACCACAGGAGTTTGGATGGGATCCCCACAGCAATGTTATTTCTCCTCATGGTACTAGTGAAACAACAGGACATGCAGCTTGAGGCTGGGTATTTTGGCAACCATATTTGATTCTTAGATGTTAACACACCCCCAGGATTATTCTCATGTAAGCCTTCAAAGGCCACTACTGGTAAATGAGTCCCATTTTGCAAAGCAAGGACCCATTATGCTGAGAATACGCCCTTCCTTGGTGCAGCAAAGCATCTGTTGTCTTGTGAACCTCCAGAAGCAATGAAGAGCTTATTTTCTCTTCACCATGATTTCAACAGAGAAAGTCCTTTCATCTCCTTTACTTTCAAATTTATTTTTCAGATATATTTATTTTTCCAGACCAATATGAGCAATGCTGTCATCAACATCAAACTTCAGTGCTGGTAGAGAATTGGGCACACATAAGTGCAAGTGATGTGAAATACTCTCAAACTACATTTGGTACCAGGCATCATGAAAGTTTGTCATTAGAAGGCTAGACAGTGCTATCATTACTTATTGTCCAAGGACATATGCACACATGGAGTCCCACAAACATCAGGAAGAGAGCCTGCTATACAGACTAATTACAAAATAGATCATATCCTTATAAAGAATATAAACAAAAGGTAGATCTGCCCCAAATCCCTTGCAGCTTAAATATGAGACAAAGTAGTAGGTAAAGACAGACGAGAGAAGAGGGAAGCTGTGATACGCTATTTTCTCAGGGTTCCATGCCAGCACAGAGAAATAATATCAACCCTTTTTCAGCCTGGCAGCTGTAAAATGCACAGGTAATTTTTAACAGAAATTCGAAGCAGGAAAAATGTAGCTTTGCAAATGCCTACAAGCAGAGCTTCCTGAGGACAAAGAGCAGCAGGGGACAAAGAGTGCATCTTTAACAAAGGGTAATGGGGATTTTACTGTAGGATGATTGGAGGCATGGGCTGCTTTTTGTAGGGTAAAGATGTGCAAAAGCACATTTGCTGCCTGTGAGCAGCTTAAGACTGCATTACTCAAGGTCAGAGAAATGAGTGCTACAGTAATCAAGAAATTCTAAGGTAAGAGCCTGTATAAAAGTTTCAGATTTATGGATGGATAGGAAATGTCATACCTTAAATGTTATGCACAAAGTACACAAGATATGCAAACCTTGGTTTAAAGGAACTATGACCAAAACAAAGAGAATACTGGAGTTTGGTAAAATTATAATGCTTTTTATGGGCCTGGATGTCATGTAGGCTGGAGATGTTGTTCATGGTGGTCTAAAAAAAAGATGCAAGGAAGAACTGGAGAAGAAAATTAAGTGCTCTTTTAAACTAGGAAAGCCATAATGCCTGAAGATAGGTTTCTAAACTGTCTCAGAAGAACAAATATGCTATATACAACAAAGGACTTCATATTTTTTAAGCAGAAAGAAATAAAAACAGCAGAACGCACTGTTAGATGCTTAATTTAGTGTGCAGCCATTCATGTCAGCAGAGGATGTGAATATGTGGTGACTTACTGCTGGCTTGCGAACCTTTTCCATAGTTCACACAGTCATTGCTCTTGATGGGGAGTATATGGAGAGTTAGGAGGTTGAAAAACTTAAATCTGTTCTGTTCCCCATGCAGCTGTGCTACTAAACAGATCCTTTGGAGTCAGTAAAATTAAAAACTATATTTTTAAAACTCTATAATGGCTCTGTTTAAGAGCTGCACATTGAATTTCTTAGCACATCATTTACTGTACAGTGTTTTATTTCTGGAATTACTGCATCTCAAACTAATCTTTCATTCTGCTGTATAGATACTTGCCTGAGGTTATGCATGATGGCTTGACTAACCAGATCAACAATCCAGAAGTAGATGTGGACATCACAAGGCCAGACACCTTCATTCGACAACAAATCATGGCCTTACGTGTCATGACTAACAAACTGAAGAATGCGTACAATGGGAATGATGTCAACTTCCAGGATACGAGTAAGAAACCATTAACTGTCATTACGTAACTGTAATCTTGGAATACATTCATAAATTGGCTCTGTTGCAATGACTTGCTGTGGTCTTTGTGCTCTGCGCTGCTGACAACATAAAAAGTCTTTTTCTGTTCCATGAAATTCCAGTTATATAATTGTTTCTTTTGCTTCTCTTCCTTATCTTCATGTTTAATGCATCCAGACACTGAAGGCTTCCCATAATGCCAGCAGTCTGATCCTTTTTCACAAGAGTATTTAATCACCTAATTAAGTCACAGTGGGTTTCATTTGGAAGCTTTAGTGAATGAAATTTAGCACCACCAACACTTCCTCCTTCCCAGTGTGTTCATCCCCACTGGGGTGCCAAGTGGAAGGGGAAAAAGGGATGAAAGCTGTAGGCTGTAGCACTCACGCTGTTTCCCTCACTCCTTTGTGCCAGGTGATGAAACCAGTGGCTCAGGCAGTGGGAGTGGCTGCACAGATGACATCTGTCCCACCGAGTTTGATTTCGTCACCACCGAAGCACCGCCGGTCGACTCGGACAGGAGGGAGGTGGAGGCTTCAGCCACACAGCCTGGCTGGACACTGCACACATTGCTCCTCATCTGCCTCAGTCTCGTACTGCAGAGACAGTGGAGATAATCCTGGATCTAGTCAGAGAAACTGTGTTTTAGCTACAGAAACAGCCAACTTTCTTCTTTTCTTATACTCTTGGACTCTTGGACAATGGACCATGCCACAAACACTTGCAGTTTTCTACAAGACAGCAGTATTGCAACCTGCTTCCCATTTTAGTTTTCCCAAAGAGTACCAGGTGCCAGACTGAACTATTTCCTGCTTTTTTCAGATATCTCTGAAGATAATATCCACTCTTGAGAGAATTCTTTCTCAATCCTTTATTACAGGAGACTTTCTGAGCTTCATTTCCTTTTATGCTGCAAAAGGGAAAAAGAATCTTACAGTATGTGTTTTTCCCCAGTGAGAAAATAGACAGGGGAAGAAAACAAGAAAGTTTTCTTTCTGAATCAAGCCTGACTCAAGGCTGCTTCATTTCAACAGAATATCAACAAAACAAAGAAAAGAAAAAAGACAAGAAAGGAACAAAAAAAAAAATGCAACCGTTCTTCACTGACAGCCAGGTTTCCTTTAGGAACTTTTGTAGGATGATTCAGGTCATCAGAATGATCACTGTTATAGGGAGGAAGGCTGGATTTATTTTTTTCCCCCAACACTAAAAATGTATGTCTCAGCAGCGAATGTCTTGCACTCCATCTGCCAACCACAACAGATTGGTATGAAGATAGAGAAGCTGAAAAATAAATTTATCTTTTAGTATGGTAGTAGCTCCACTAGCTTCAGAATGTCATGTTACAGTTGCTTAGGGTTTGAATCTTAATGCCCAGTAAAAATATGAGTAGTAGCATGATTTCACCTAGTTTCTTTTAGGATTTATCCATGTTGTAGAATTGTCAGTTTTCCACTTAGCTCACCACTGTGAGTTCACCAGCCATGATGGTAATGTTAAACAACGCTCTTGACCCCTCATGGGTTCAGACAGAAAATAATCTCTCGTGATGTAATCTTTTTCCTTTTGTTACTGTTCTGACATCGATTAGAACTTTTTGCTACTATGCCCATTATCCTACCAGGACAGCAATTCTCTAATAGACTAACAGCAACAGGATCAATAGTGTGCTTCACACCTAACTACATCTTTCATATCAGTTAGTTTCAGTGTCACAAGGGTTTCTTCTACAAAATTTCAGATCGAACAAATATATAGTACTGACATGGAGATTTCTTTCACTTTTTTAGTCTTAGTATGATCATCTATTTTTATATATATAAATATATATAAATCACAGATTTTAACTTCTTAATTACAAGCTCAGGGTTGACACTTCTTTATAAGAAAAAAAAATGTTTGGTCAACCAACTCTTCTTTTTTTTGCTGCTCTGAAAAGTAACCCTTTAGTGACTGGTGAGCATGAAAATCAAAGAAGAGAATTTTTTACATATCCAGTTGTCCGTTTCCTAACAAGTTTGCAGGTTGGTGGAGAAAACCTCTCTCATGTGTGTGTATTTGGTGGAGGAGGGTGGGGCATGTGAGTTTGTACGATAGACCTAGAGAAGGACATGGATGTTAACTGTGATGGTAATTGTACTTCAGATTCTTCAAGGATACATTGCTTTAATAATCATTGTCTAAATGGTTGTGGTCTGGGATAGAGTTTCCCTAACTTGAATCTGGTCATAAAACCCAAGATGGAAGCTGTTTAAATCCTGGACAAACGTGTATCAACAATTAGATATCAAAATCTTCCTTCTTCTATCAGCCACAGACAAACGATTTTTGGGGCAATTTGGCCTGGTGTTGAAATGATTTGCCAGAAATTTATTTCCTGGTTCTTACATTGACTCTGGAAATGGTATACACAAATTGTGGTAACACTAAAGCCAGCCAACCACATTCCAATTTAACAGCAGAGCAGGTAGATCTTATCCATTGCAATCTCTTTTTCCTGTCAAATTATAATTAGCTATCGATTTAGGCATGAAATTAAAATAGAAAACACACAGCACGTTAGAACAAAGTATACTTAAGCACTTTTACCAAAAAGTATTTACAGTCTATTTATATAATATGTCTCATAACAAAAAAGTATAAGTTTTGAGCCACTTGTATTCAATTCCTTTACTGGCCCATTTTTTTACTTTGAAATATAATGATAGTTAGCATCATAGAATCATAGAAGCACGGAATGGTCTGGGTTGAAAGGGACCTTAAAAATCATCTAATTCCATCCCCCTGCCTTGGGCAGCAATGCCATTCACCAGATAAAGTGAAGCCTGGCCCTGACAGGTGGTCTGTTCTTCTGGGCCTAGATTAGTATGTCACTGTCTAGATCACACAGGTCTTACATGGCCATAGCAATGCTTCCTACTTCTCCAAAGATTCCCCCTGGAGCAAGTCTTTTGACTGAGAATTTACTGTTTATAGGAAGTTTAAGCCAATTCTCACAGGCTTTTTCTTTTGCCCTGGCACAGCAAGTATCAAGTAGAAGGTCTTTGCTTTTAATTTTTTTTCCTGAACTTGCACAGGCAGCTTTCTAGAAGGAGATCCCTTTAAAAATCTCCCCTGATCCATCTCTTTCTACCCATCTCTACATCCTTTCTACATCCTCAACAACTTTGTTTCAGAAGTGTGATTTTGATTTCTCTGGTTGTGTACTTATTCATTGGTAACTGATTTAATTTCCATCTGATTATTCTGGATCTGAAAGCTTATTGACAGGCAAAAATGTCCAAGCCCTCTGATGCAAGTCCTCTGTTATACTTGTTCCACACTGCTGGTGAAGGAGCTGACGGACTCATCAGGTTTTTGTGTTTGCCTCAGCCCACATGTAGGTGACCTGATGGCTGTTTTCAGCTGGTGCCACCAAGGTGTGTGTCCAGGGTGATGTCATCTATTTGCAGACTTCCATGGACTTTTGGAAAGTAAGAGGGAAAGGGGGATCCCTAAGAACTAGGGGTTCACTGAAAGCGCTCGTCACTGCAGGAACTTGCCCTGCTCTTTTTGAATTGGATCTTATAAACTGCAGCTCAAACAGCACACCAGCTTAATCTTTGCCAAAATGTGATTCTTGAGGGAGTTCTGCCAGAAATTTATGTCTTCCACATTATTAGATCTCCTCTTATTTTCCTACTAGGCATGGTGATATTTTGTCAGGAGACGGAGATGCCTTTGCGTGAAGTACTGTGTATACATTTCTTTAATAGTCCCTAAGGTTGAATACACTTTTCATACATTGCATTTTTCCAAGATTAAGAGAGCTATTAAATCTACAGAGAAAATTAAATTGGGAATGAAGGAGAGAAAATAAAAAGCATTCATGTTCATAAATGTGAGAATCTACATAATTTCCAATTATTCTATTTGCACATCCTTTGCATCCAATAGCTCTTCTTCTAAGGTAATTTTTTGGTGTGCCACAATTTAAATATTTCTCTTCTGTTAGCAGCAGATAAAGTAAGAAATTATAAAGACGACAATTACATGTTCAAGAAAAAGGAGCCAAGTCCTAAGGAAAAGTCCTTTGATTGTGTAAACCCTCTATGCTGCACAATCTAGAAGCTCTTCACATGTAATGTTCTTTTAAAGTGGAGGCTAATAAAAAATTAGATGCAATAAATTACATGACCATTTATGTAGAGCCCTGTGAGGTTTTTCAGTATTAACTGAATTGCTTTTGTATCATCTCCAAATTTTTCATGTTCAGTGTACTGCGGATTTTTCTACTGATGACTCAATACATAGCACTGTAAATGCAGTGCAAACTACCTGGACTCTGAGCAAACTTAGGCATTTCAAAAAAAGACAATCAGAAGAATATTTTAAAAGAGGATAGCGATTTCTTGCAAAAGAGAAGAGGAAAGGAAACTGTGCCACGGTGTGCTAGTGAGGGTTGATCTATCCCAGTTCCCTAAGACCCATCATAGACCTCTGTCCACGGAAAGCTCTGAAAAATCTGAGTCTCAGATGCACAAAATCATCCCAGTTCTCTGGGATTTTTAGGAAGAATGATTCTCACAGACATGTGAACCAGTTTGACCTGCTTCCATGCAAAATGGCTTTACTGTGCATGTGACTGAGCACTGGTACAGATTGCTCAAAGAGGCTGTAGAGTCTCCCTCACTGGAGAATATTCAAGAACCATCTGGACACAATCCTGTGCCATGTGCTCTGGGATGACCCTGCTTGAGCAGGGAGGTTGCACCAGATGACCCACTGTGGTCCCTGCCAGCCTGACCCATTCTGTGATTCTGTGATTCTATGAGCTGGAGCTTTTCTTGGGAGGCGGACTCTATGTGCAGCGTCTCAGCAGGCAGCAGTTGCCTTCAGTTTACTATCTGATTCTGAATCATTATCAAATGTAACTATACTTATTCACTGAAACTTTTATTACTTCAGCATAAAAAATAAATTACAGCACTGATGCAAGTTGTGTTTTTTGTTTTTAATTTGCTCCCAAAGGTAACTCATTAAAACTGAATACAGAAAATTTTAGAATGATTTTGCAGGTTTCTATAGATTTCATTATGGATATTAAGAAGAAATCCACATTTCAAAGACCACGAAACTATGTTTACTGTATTAGCCCACAAATGTTCAAGCCTTCTAGAGGAGAATGGATAGATTTAACAACAGTGGAATGTTACATAAAGTTGAAAAAAGCCATAATTTTAAAGGGAATTCAGCAGTCAAAGGCTAAGTCGTAGTGTCAGTACTGAGATTATGTTGTCAAAACATAATAGACTCAGCAATGCCTACTTTCAGGAAAAATAGGGCAGGTGATGCACTGAGTATGACAATGTTTTCATTACAACTACTCAGATGGACTGTGAGGATCATATTAATATGTGTAATTATGACCCTTTTTGGATAAAATAATGATAAAGACCAGAGTACCATGGTATGCGAAGGATAAATGTTATGATAGTAACAATTTCCTCCTCTGTTAAACAGTATAGGAGACATAATGGAGAATGAAAAACTTTTATTTTTAAAATAAAGTTCTAAGATCAGATGAGTGATGGTCTCAAATCAATTTAGTCAGAACATTTTGCAAAAGTCTGTCCTATTCAAATCTGCTGACCAATACAACCAAACAAACTTGAGGATAATTTGCCAATGTAACATGAGGTGCTCGCCTACAGTATCTACTTACTTTTTCTACCTAGCTGAGTATATAGTTTATGATTCTGATTGTGCATCATATGAGGTCATAAACAGACTTGTGCATTGCACCTGTGTGAAATCCTGGTGCCATGACAAAGCAAATGAGAGCTTTGTGTTAACAAGGGTTTTGACTATAATCAAGGAGAAGAGAATAAGTCCCTTTTTTTCTAGAAGCTGTTCATATGTGGTTTATTTCTGACTCTTAATAAAACAACAACACTGTCCACAAAAGAAGTGACGTTACCATTGTCACCTGCAAGTATTTAAACTTTACTCCAAAGCAGTTGCAGTATTTCTGCCTGGTTTCCCCACAGCCAAGGTCTCTGGACTGTCCAGGAGTGCAAGAAAGTCATATGTATTTGCCCATAGCTTAAAGTCTACACAGTTAAATCAAATAATTTCAAGAAAATGGGTTGGTATTTCAGTCAGCTCTTATTTCACCTTTATATTTAATTATGTAGCATTGATAATCAACAATATAACACACCTGAAAGGCTTTTGTTTCACATCAATGAAAAAAACCTTCTTCCTTTTCCTTCTTTATTCTGGCACTAAGAAATCTGTGTGGCTTAATACTTAAAGCAGTTGGCAGCATCTGGTGTGTAATTTAC